GTAATCGTTTAATCACCACCACAGCGTCTTGTCTCCATTGGCAACACGCACGATTTGTGTCGACTGCAAGTAACGATCAAAATAATCGTTAGTTGCAGCCCTACTTTATTGACAAAACTGTATACATTGAAAATTGAGGATGCAGTGCATCGTCAATGCATTGTGATGCAGTGATATTGAATTGAACGGAATCGATGACATGATAATCGTAATCGAACCGAACCGTGAGACTAGTGTAGGTTCACACGCCTAGTAACAAGTCTGCCACGTTTGTTCTGACCAACTGAGGAAAAAAGCATTACAATAAATCGCACTATATGGTGATTTGATCTAAAGATCGGTTAGCTCATATCACATCAAACCGTGCAAATTATTATTATTGTTATACTTTATTCTCAAATTGTTAATGTTAACAACATCAGCATTGCATGACTGAGTATAGTGAATATTAACGTGTAGATTTCAATTTCTGTACAGTCTAATCTCGAATTGTCATACTATTTGAATTTCATATTAAGAAATTATTTTAACCCAAAAAGCAAATTATGCTCCCTTCGAACTGGTTGTCTTTAAAATACTCGTTAGTTGCAGCCCTACTTTATTGACAAAACTGTATACATTGAAAATTGAGGATGCAGTGCATCGTCAATGCATTGTGATGCAGTGATATTGAATTGAACGGAATCGATGACATGATAATCGTAATCGAACCGAACCGTGAGACTAGTGTAGGTTCACACGCCTAGTAACAAGTCTGCCACGTTTGTTCTGACCAACTGAGGAAAAAAGCATTACAATAAATCGCACTATATGGTGATTTGATCTAAAGATCGGTTAGCTCATATCACATCAAACCGTGCAAATTATTATTATTGTTATACTTTATTCTCAAATTGTTAATGTTAACAACATCAGCATTGCATGACTGAGTATAGTGAATATTAACGTGTAGATTTCAATTTCTGTACAGTCTAATCTCGAATTGTCATACTATTTGAATTTCATATTAAGAAATTATTTTAACCCAAAAAGCAAATTATGCTCCCTTCGAACTGGTTGTCTTTAAAATACAAATCTTGTGTAATCCCAGGCTATCTGTAATCAGATGCACATTTGAAACTACAATATAATTTAATTTCATTCACATGTGTTTCATAAACACATAATCCTCTCTGGATTACAATCCGCCATCAAAATGAAACATTTAATTATTCCAGCAGCTGTGAGAAAAGGCTATAAACGATCCGCCACCTGCAGG